CTCCACATGGCTGCTTGCGGCCTTCACAACACCAAGTACGATCTGAAGATACAGCAGAGATCTGAGTGTGTCGGCTATGTTGGAACGTGTAAAGCAATCCGTCAAACGGTCAGTTCAGTGTCAGGCAGTGAGCTGTCAGTCAGTCAGTTATTTTTAGACAGTTAATTGTCAATTTTATTCTACGTTTATTTACGTTAAAGTATCAGGTGTCCTCAATTAGTAGGCTCCCAGCAGGGACAGTCCGCCAGTAGTTGGCACAAATAAAGTTGTTGTACTGTAGTCAGTTATCAGTCAGACAATAAGTTTAATAATAACAGTTAGCAGACAGAGAGTTAGAACATCAGCTGCCAGTAAGTCAGTTGTTCAGTCACACAATTATGGCAGCTGTCATTCAATTAGTTCTCTGTGAGTCAGCTGCAAGTCAGTTGCCATTCATTCAAACAGTCAGTTATCCAGCTAGACAGTTGAGACAGTTGAAGTCAGCCAGTCAGTCAGACAGCTGTCTGCAAGTTGTCAGTCAATCAGCTGTCAACCTGATAGTCACATTGTCAATCAGTGAGGCAGACAGCTGTGACAGAATGTCAGTCAGTCAGTTAATCAGTCAGTCATTTTTTCAGTCTGCCAGCCAGTCAGTCAGTAAGGTTGAAAGAACAAGTGTTGTAGTCAATGGTGTAACTTTAAACAAGATTAAATACAGAACAGTTATAGTACAAGATGGCTATGACTTTGGTTTTGTTAAGTTACCTTACTCTTTTTAAAATGCTCAAATAATAACAAATCATTGTGTCTGTGAGCATCCTCAATGGAAATCTCGTCAAAACCTGCTGCATCCAGCTTATCAGCCAGTCTAAGATATGCATCCTTGTCAGCCTTCTTGTAGTCTTCTTGATCCTATCATAAGAAGGAAAAATCAAGATGAAAAACACAATTCACTCCCTATTTTTTCTCTTAGTCTTTCTTTTTATTGATTCATTTCATTCATTCTCCCTATACTGACTGGTTTCTGCTTATATAGCCATGCCTATGGGGTACTCAGGTGTAATTGTGATGCAGAGTTGTGAACAAGAAGAAATCATCAGACCTAAAAAAAGTCCTGTCTGAGGCTTAAAAGCCAGACCAAATAGATGTGATAGCATTAAATTAAGTAGACATAAAATATTAATAAAATAGGGTTGTTTTTGTAAACATGGCTGGCAAACATGTGGTTGAGTAACTACTAACTTACTAAATGATTAGGATAGCCACAACACAAATGAACTGTCTTGACTACATCTGAAGCTCTAACTCCATCAAAACAAGTCGCGAGCTGATCAATTCCATACTCTAAAGCTTGCTCAGGAAACCGCATCAAAACTGGTTCATCAACCTATTACCAGGACAATAATAACATTAATGGAATGAAAAAGGTATGCAGGTGTGCTAAGTGGTGGAGATTTTATTATTGGATGGCAAATTTATAGTTTATGAACCTCCTGGAGAAAAGCAAGAAATAGTAAGGATAATATTATTAGAACCATCAGTCCATGAGAAAGATACCTTTAAGTGCCAAGTGTTTCTCTTGTAGTGGTGCAACACATTACCACTCTATATTTGGTGATACGCTACTATATTATGATGTGTGTAATATATCAGGGTAGGGTAAAATCCATTCCAACCCTACTTAAGCATTGGAGTAGCCAGAAGAATATTAAGCTTACAGATGATCTGGATCACAGATGATTGTTCATAAAATCTGCGCTCTGTAGCAGCATCTGGAAGTAGTTACTTCTACTGGATGGGGCAGGTCACCTTCCATTATTTTGTTTGCCTGTCTGGTAAGTGTTTCAAAACGTGTACCATGTCAAAGCCCTAACCCAAGTTATGGGAAGTACTCCCTATTCCCTGGGGTGGAAGGAGGAACTGTGAAAGGATAAGCATGCAGACAATGTAAATAAGAAACTACAAGTTCTACCCTATGCCAGGACTTTTTGTTATCTGGTACTGAAACAGAACTATGACTAACCTCAACTAAGGATGATATAATGAATAAATACACTGCACACCGTCAACGCAGCAAATAATTAAAGGAAGCTATGTATTGTACTGCAGCTGGACATCGTTCAATACCACACATTAAACATCCCACTATTCCCATATACATTGTAAACCTTCCAGTAATCCAGCTCAAAACACAATAAAGTAGAAACTTAAAACTTGAACCAAGACAACACTACCATGATCTCAACTGAGTGTGACGCTAAAGAAGCAGCATATTCAGTAGTTATAAGAAGGGACCCTTCCCATGATCCCCATAACTTCCCCTCAATCCACTCTTGTATCCAATCCTCTTGCCCCCAAAACACATCAATAGCACCTCAGGGTAAGTGCTAGTTTGGCTACATGGGTGTTCAAAATGGCAGCCATGACATAGTGACCACACATCTGATCAAGATCATTTTCTTGCTTACAAAATAGGTGTTCACTGCATATTTACACCAAATGTGTCATAGGAAAATTGACAAATTGTTATTTTATGGTACTTATTTGGTTCCAGGGATGAACATGTCAATCGAATAGAGACATTGTTTGAATCCTTCTGACTCGCCGATATGCACCAGGAGCAGAAAGCAGTTACTGGGGTGGAGAGTGTTACACCACATTGGCACAGGAAGTCAAGGCCGTTCTTATGTAATCTAGTTTTAAAAACTTATCATTGTGCATCCCTATTAAACTAGTGTCAGTGTGAAGGTTAGAAACCTTCTTTTAAAAGGAACAAAATGGTAGTTAATAAGAACTATTGACCCTCCTTAAAAAATCTTGAGAATTGCATCCAATGCTTGAGTCATCCAAGCATTTTAAGGAGGCTGGCAACCGTTTCCAGCATACTTTGAAGGATGCATTATTACCACTGTTTATCAAGTGATGCTACAATATTGGTATCACATAAAATGCCCAGCCATTGGTAAACCAATATGTTTTGGTAATGTTTATGGCATAACAGATTACCATAGCAACAGTACAACCTGTTAAAAACCCTTAATTTTAGATTTAAGGGCTTATCGCTCAAAATCAAGCTTGGTGACCCCCACTTGTTATAAACAATTTGTGATAACCATATGGTAACATGCAACTTTTCACAAAGAAATAAAAAATTCTTTCTAGCAAGTTCAGAGCCATTACAGTGTGCCTACTCTAACCAAGGCCACCAGACCAAATTTCCTACAAATTTAACAAATAAAAATTGTGGCAGTTAACAATAGTTTTCCAACAAATTATTGATATAATCAAGCTTTACATTACAAAGGCAACAGATTTGTGGTCATTTTGATTAGTAACTATCCAAAACTTTTAAAATGCCAGTGGTCAAGCTTCAGTGGCCTTGGTTGGAGTAGTCGCTCTGTAACTTTCCTTAAATTTAAGGTGCCTCTGTACCCCCTAAACAGAATTTGAGATTGATAGAGGAAATATTTGATTGGGCCTTCCGGCCCTCATCAACAATCACCCCATAGAAACCTAGAGCTCATAAATCAATCAGAGAGATCAAGAGAGCTGTCCGATACAGGTGTCCATGAGGCTAAGGAGAGCTTGCCTGGACAAGTGGGGGTGGAGGGGGGGAGGGGGGGGGCAGTGAATCCCATACAAAAAGGATAGAGGTGCTCATCATACCTTTTAGGGGATAAAAAAGCGGTTTTGATACCCCTTAGGATGTTCAGCCTCACAAGGTCCACAGTGGGAGCTTTCACAGTACCATTTAGGGTACTGAGTAGAAAAAATACGACAGGAGATATTTGAAAATCAACTTTACCAGTAGAAGGTATTTGAGGCAATTGTCTATATCACTATTAAAAATAATGAAGGTGTCAGTTACTGTGTTGTTTGATACCTCTTAAGAGTGAAAACATTGAAGCCATGGCCACGAAAGACGATCTTGGTAGCCCTTAGAGGTTCTTTTCAAAATTTCTGACGAGTTCCCCCGTCCTTTTGAGAGGGGAGTTCCTCCCAGGGGACTGTACTTACCTGAATGTGTTTACAACCAGCCGATACAAGGTCCTTGATTTCTTTGTTTAAAATCTCTGACAACACACAGCCGAGAACCTTATCATTGTTGTAATACTGATCAACCACTGTGTCCGCGATTGTCATGGGTCCCGGTAGGGTAATTTTCATGGGCCTCTTCGATAAATCTTGCGAATTTTGCCATTCCTTCCAAACCCACGTTTCATTTTCCAGGGGTGACACCTCTTCAACTACTTGAGGTAAAAAAATAGTAGCAGATTCCACCTCTCGAACAGCTTTAGCGCATAAGTTGTGAAAATCAAAACCCTTCATTCTTCTACAAAAGTAATGAATGTAGTTCTCACGCCGAACTTCTCCATCGGTTATCACGTCAACGCCTACTTCGGTAAGGAGTTCAACAATTTCTTTGATGGCTCTTTTAAACAACTCTTCCTTCTCGGATGCTGTGAAATTTTGAAGGAAGCGATTATATCCCTCCACGAAAGTCTTCGCGTATCGTGGCTGAAACCAGTCTGGAATGTTGAGGTAAGAAGGCTTGGGAAAAGAACCGATAACGGTGGTTGAAAGTGGCATGTTAACACGATTTATACTCCAACTCTTAGTTGGTACGAACCAAATATTATCCGATGACGGTGACTAAAAACGGCTAGTGCTCGCTCAAAAGAACGATCGGCAGCCGGCTTCATCTTCATGCTTCCTGCAGGGTGACGTGACGTCGCGTGACGTATGGCTCCGTGGAACACCCCAGCGGGGGAACACCCCAGAAAACAAAACCACCCCTCCGCCTGTGACACAAGCCATGCAACTACAACACAAACGATGGCGAAAAGCATAAAAGTTCGCGCAGTTGGATTAGATTCAGTTCGATTAATCGAACGTTAGGTCAGTTGCGGTTGGTTACGGAGTTCGCGCTTGGTATTTTTTTGACTTTTGTGCTCAGAGAATGCTGTGATTTACACCGCTTTCTAACGTGTAATCCGGGGGTGCAATCCAATCAAAGATATTCAGCCATAAATCAAATCTTGCGAAGTTTGAATAAGGCTTCCCAGCGAAGAATTGAGTCCGCTCAAGTTTCGAGAAGTAGCGATTTTATATATGGTACACTAGCCTGTAGTACAGGCGGAATCGATTTATTAGCTCTCGATTATCGCGCATTAGTATAAATCTACTAGCGTTCTATCACGAATGCTGTTCTCTGATTGGCTACGCTACTCAACAATCGAGAGCGAATAATCTAATTGTTTTAATATAAACCTAGTAGTCGTTCAAACTTTATCTAAATCTTCTTCACAGGCACTTCGAAAACGCCAAGAAGCGGCCGTCATTTTGTTAACAAGGGTAAACTGAGTAGCGCAGCCAATCAGAGAACGGCTTTCGTGATAGAACGCTAGTAGATTTATACCAATTTATACTAATCTGTGATAGATAGTGAGTAGCGTAGCAGTGTGCACTTGTTAACAAAATGACAGCCGCTTCTTAGTGTTTTAGAGGTATTTTTGAGGAGGATTTATATAAAGGTTTGAACGACTAGTAGATTTATACTAAAACAATTAGATTATATTCGCTCTCGATTTCTATGCGTGATAGTTGACTCGGACTGCGCCCTCGTCAACTATCACGCGACAGAAATCTGGAGCTCATAATGTAATTGCTAAATAGAAATCTCGAGCTCATAATCTAATCGTTTAATATAGTCCCAATTTAAGACGCTGCGAAAGCACTTCCTGCACAACCCGAATAGAACAAAATTCTTGCGCAGAAAATTGCCCAGCTCCAAGGGGGTTTAGGGTTGTGTGACCATTGATCCCTCACTGATCTTTTGACTGGCATCTAATACCTGAATGTATTTGCATCCTGCGGATACAAGAGCCTTGACCTCGCTGTTGATTATCTGCGCCAAAACCCTGCCTAGCGCTTTCTCGTCGTTGTAATACTGATCTTCAGTAGAGTTTATTATTGTCATGGGTCCTGGGAGAGTGATTTTCGTGGGCAATGACGACAAATCTTGCGAGGCTTTCCACTCTTTCCATACCCACGCTTCGACTGCTCGAGGTGTCACGACGCTGATTACGCGCGGCACATCTGTTACCACAGCGCCATCACGGCAGATTTTCGAAACAGCTTGTGGAAATCAAAACCTTCAAGTGCCCTGCAGAAGTGTAGAATGTAAGATTCTCGTCGAACCTCGCCATCAGTTATCACATCAAGGCCAGCTTCCGATTGTAGAGCAACTATTTCACTGGTTGCTTTAATTATCAGTTCCTCTGTTTCAGACGACGAGCAATTTTCCAGAAAACGGTTATGTTGCTCAGTGAACGACCCTGAGCGTGATGTCCGAAACCAGTCCGGAATGTGCAGATAAGGTGGCTTGGGGAAACTGCCGATTACCGTGGTCGATAGAGGCATTTCTTCACAGGCTAAGCAGTAGTCTCCTTCGCAGCCGTTATTAGGGTCGTCACGCAACGCTCCTCCCCACTTACTTAGTGGGGAGGAGCGTTGCGTGACGACCCTAATAACGGCTGCGAAGGAGACTAGCTAAGCAGCCAAGCGAGGTATTGTGAATGTGTAACGTTACGAGCGTGACTGAGCAAGTGATGTTATGTCACGGATACTACGATTGTTAAGAATAGTTCGAAATAACGTGGAATTCAAACGCTCTACGAAGGAAAACTTTGCCAAGCTGTTTCCCGTCTTTGAGGGCTTTGCCGACAGGGAGAGCTGATTAATGGCAGCCAAAACATGAGTTACTTTATTGACTCTTCTTATTCGTTACTTATTACTAGTTCAACATTTGTAAATAGCATGACAATGTTTTGAATAAAGGTAAAAAGAACTTATCGAGAGAGAAAATTGAACTTAAAGTTATCCATATTTCAATTAAGGTTACAGTATACCTTCAGATCAGCAATTTTCTTCAAATTTGGATTCTTGGTTCAAAGCAATGGTCGAAGAGTAATCTCTAATTTCTGAAAACAAAATTGAAAAAAACTCAATATTGGCGGAGAAATGGAGGTTTTACGTTACCGCCGGAAGTAAAAGTTCCCTCTTGATTGACAGCCCTATAACGTGTACGCAATCAACCGAGACTACTTTCGCGGGAATATATGGATACCACGAATTGGCTGGCTACTCAGATCCAAGCGTTTTTCGTATTAAATGTAATTCTATTAAGTTATAAGTAAACATGGACCACGGAAAACTCTGTTTACCAGTTCGAAAAAGCGAAGAACGAATGAAAACACATCAATGAGTGAA